TGTGTTACCATGTTCTTCAAGTAAATAGCAGCTGTATTTGAAGAACAAGAGAGAGGGAGAGGTGCATAAAAAGGGCTGTTTATAAACCTAACTTTAAAACATAAGTTAGGGCCATCTGTAAGGGGAATAACAATTCAAAAACCAGGGAGCATGCAAGAAACTAAGAACTTAAGTCCTGGTAGTGAAATCCCAAAGATGTACGTGATATTTAGAGATAGCTCAATACATAAAGTTCAGATCTACCAGTAGCTGTTAGCAATAATAACCAAGAATGGGCCATCTGTAAGGGGAATAACAATTCAAAAACCAGGGAGCATGCAAGAAACTAAGAACTTAAGTCCTGGTAGTGAAATCCCAAAGATGTACGTGATATTTAGAGATAGCTCAATACATAAAGTTCAGATCTACCAGTAGCTGTTAGCAATAATAACCAAGAATGGCATTTCCATTTTCAGAAAATTCATATCCCTAAATACAAAATATCAACCAAAAACAACCAGAAATAGTTTCCTCTAAAATGCCTGCTTTTTGAGCTTCCTCTAGATTGATCTCATAGGCAATTTACCTGTTCATTAATGAAATCTAGCTAAGACCAGAAGCCAGCAAGATAAAAATATAAAAAAGAGGGATATTCCATCTCTGACTTTGGACAGGGTTGTACTTCCCCATTCAAGGGTAGGGCAGAATCTGGGTGTCTTCATGGATTTACAGCTCCTGCTTGCTGAGCAGGTGACTGCTGTGGCCAGGAAGGCCTTTGCACAACTTCATCTGGCACACCCTTTCCTGAATTGGGAGCCCCTTCAGACAATCATTCATGCCCTAGTCAGCTCAAGGCTCAACTACATGGGGCTGTCCTTGAAGACCACTTGGAAACTTCAGCTGGTCCAGAATGCAGCGGTGTAGGCAGTATGGGCATGCCCTGCTTTGTCTATATGACACCACTGCTCCATGAGCTTCACTGGTTGCCAGTTTGCTTCCATGTGCTATTCAAGATGTTGATTAACACGCATAAAGCTCTACATTCATTGAGCATTGTTATCTGAGGGACTGGCTATCTCCTATAGCATTAGCCTGGCTGATTCAAGCTGACAGGCTTGGTGTGCTCTGAGTGCCTTTGATAAAATGTCAACTATCAGGACCCAGGAAATGTGCTTTCTCTGTTGCGCAGGAATGAGGTTCCCCTTGAGATCCAGATGGCTCCCACACTGTTGGCCTTCCAGAGGGCCATAAAGACCTAGCTGTTTTCCCAGCCCTTGGGCTAGGGTGGTTGAAGCCCCCTCCTCTGTTAGATGCTGGTGGGATGTTTGGGGGTTTCTGCTGGTTTCACTATCTTGCTCTTTTCTTCTTTTTCTGCTTTTCTAGTTTGTTGTTTCTTATTATATTGTTTTTATATTGTTTGGTACATTGTGAGCTGCCCAGAGTCATTTGAAGTCAGGCAGTATTAAACTGAATTAAATAAATAAAAAATATATAATTTGAATTTGTAACCACTCAATTCTAAACATAATAAATAGGAGCAAGCTGCAGAACTTCACCCACCTGCTTGCCGGACTGGGAATTCCACTTGATCAGAAACAATGATTTGTAGCAGACTAGGAGCAAAGTTTATTATCTTGTAGGACTGAAAGGGATATAAAAAGTTAATCAGCAAAGTACCACTTAAAGATAGCAGTATTAAGCACTCTTAGGTATTAGTTATTAAAGGAGAGTAAAGCACCACTCTCCTATTGAAAAGTAGTTGAATTAGACTCAACAAAGACTGTTTGGTTCTAAAATCAGGAAGCAATTCTCTTATCTTTTGCTGTGGAGGTCTCCAAAGCAGCTCAGGAATTTACTGTCCATTCTGTTAGTAACCACAACACTCCTAATAGTAACATATTCACTTGAAATTCTTTAACTTCCTGTTTTCATCTTATACAACAGGAATGAACAACCATGGACCTACCTGTAGCCCCCAAGCACCCCAAGATAGTGCCAGTGAAATTCAGCAGAAAATTGGTTTAATTTTGGAGGCACATGTGTGGTAGTGGTTCACTAATAAAGACATGAGCAAGAGAGGGAGGTCACTGAGAAGCAAACTATTATAATTCCCACTCTTAAAATCCCCACTGATCCCCCATTTCCAGTCCAATTTTGGCTCATTTTAAGGGTAGAGTTAGGAATGGTTGTCAGATCTTCTGGAAAGCTGGACACAGCTGTCTCAGGGCTGCATGCACAGCTGCTTCACTTTGCTGGCTGGCCCACCAGAAGTGCTTTCTACAACCAAGTGCAGATAATTTGGGAAACCATGGAAGCAACTACTTTGAGCCAAATGCATTTTGCAAAGTCCCCCTTCAAAGGTTCTACTTTGCTGGTCACAAGAGGCCACTTTTGGAATGCATACAACCCATAGAAAGGGGCACGAGGGAGTTGTAAACTGAAAACTGCTATGGATTTAAAGTTTGTGTATCTTCATTGTTCTACTTTATACAGTATGTGATTTTGTATATGTAAGGATTAACGTGAAGCTCTATACTGAATATTTTGTATTGTTTTTTAATTAAGCTCTATGCTGACTTTATGTATTTGGGGAAAATATCTTAAACCACTGGAGAAGATCTTGGCTCAGTCAAAGACATCAATAGAAGTTCCAGATTGCCACTGCTCAGTAAATATACTTTCTAACGTTGCAAAAATCAGTCCATTAGATTTTTGCAAGTTCAAGTTAAGTCCACATTTTCTAAATGAAAATAAATGTAGGATATTAAATGTAGAACTGTGGGATATTAAAACCCTTTGTCAATCTGAGAATTTCTTATGTTTTAGGGGCCTCCTTCTTCCCAATCAGTAGCAAATTCAATAGGCCATCCAGTTTTAATTGTATTATTTTTCTTATTTTCCATTTTATTATTATATATTTTTGAAAGAATGTAAGAAATGGATGACACAAATAGAGAAATCAGGTACAGGTAGTGAAATAGGAGCAGATAAGCAAGCAAAAGTAAATGCGACATAGAATTTAATTCTAATTGGAAACATTCTTGGACTACAATATTATACATGGAATTGTACCACATCCAAAATTTGATTTTAGAATTCATATCTTAATTTGATGTATGGTTTACAGTATTAATGTAATATATTATTTACTATCTATAATCTTTTTTAATTACTTGAACTGTGTTAACCAAGTATTCTTAGCTTAAAGTTCAGTAGGGACATATGGGTTTTGATTAGAAAATGGACTTTTAATGATGTACTAGAATACATTAGTTTTATGGTATTTCAGTTTTAATCGTAACTTATGCCTGTGGGACAGAAGAGCAATTTTATTGTACAGGATATATCACTATCTCATTCACTATCTTATTAAGTCACAATCTAAATAGAAGCATGGCTTTTGATGCAATGTATTTAACAAATTATGTTTAAAATATCACTAGTTCAACCAAGGCCCTTTCTTCTCAGAAGGTAATGAGACTGGCATTTTTTGGAGATGCTCACTCAACTAATTCTGCAGGCTGCCATTATGCCAGTTGCTCAGCAAGATGTATTTGAACATAATGGTAACCTGAGCAGGTACCAATGCATCAGCACCAAGTACTTCTGGACAGCACCCCACACAGACTACAAAATAAAGTCCTCTTTGAGTCAAACTTGACTCCTGCAGTTTTCTTGACAATAGAAAAGTGAATGGCCACTGTTTTTTTCTAGGGTTAAAAAAAAAATCCAGTCTAATCTGCAGCCCTGGTATTCCCTGAAGGTCTCCCATTCAAGTACCAACCAAGGCCTGACATTTTGATCAGAGGCAAGGTCAGCGAGGTACAGTAGTGTAGGTGTCACTCCCTGGGCTTATATGTCACATAGTATGCTGTCTGCAACCACAACATGGAAAAGAAATAGGATGTTACTGCAATTTTACTAAGAGGCCAAAACTAGGGAAAAGTGTTTGGGGGCTAATACTCTAAATCAAAAGTTTTATCATTTAAATGATAAAACTAGCAACTGGAGTTGTAACATACTCAGAAGGGTGCATTTCAGTCCATGCCTAACTTTATAGGAATGTTTCTTGCATTCCTGGTGGGAATTACTTTCAATTCACCATCTACTGATTTAATAAAAACCTGCCAGAAAGCTTTACTGACTTTATTCAGCAAATGACTGTTAAAAATTTATTTATTTATTAAACATATTTCTATGCTGCCACAATCAAAACGACTCTTGGAAGCTCACATTAAAAAGTACTATATAAAATAAGTTTCATGCAAAAATAAAAGCACAAGAGTACTGGTATATTTCAGTATATTACAAAAAAATATGGCTAGTGGTTGAGAACAATGGAAGGGAAGGAGAAGATGTGAAGTTGTAAAGTGACTAGATGCCCAAAATAAATCATTAAAAAAAACACACACTAAATTTGATATTTTTAAAGAAATAAACTTGCAGCAATCGTTACATTGGGTGCTATTTATATTTTTTAAAAAAATGTAAACTATGATAATAAAAAAGAATGAAAGATTATGAATTGAATGAGTTTCTTCAACAGAAAGACTATATTGTCTTCCCAAGCTCTATTGTCTGTCTCCTTACCTTCTTTCATGTGCAGAAAAAAAGACATGAAAGACCACAGTAATTAGTTTCCTCTCTCCCTCCAGTCAACCATATCGTAAGAAAGCAGAGGGACAGCTTAAATGCACATACATAAAGCTGTTTGTACACATGAGGGGTTACAGTATCTGGCACCACAACACACAAAAGTTTCTGAAAGTCAGTGTATCCAGGTACCAGAAGGACTACGTTCAGTTCTCCTGCAAGCAATTCTAGTCAGGACATTGTCACAATAATGCAAATTTATCCAGTCCTTGCTAATCACATGACACCACAGACCATCTATCAAGCCACAATCACCATACAGCTTTCAGATTAGCTATACTCTTCCAATACACATAATTTATTTCTGAAGGTGGTATCAGGCTTACTATTGACCACCTGTTGACCTACCTGCCTAGGAATTTGCTAATCTTTAGCCAGGAGTACTTGACAGATGCAGCCACTTGGGGTAATTCTCAGGCAGTTTTATCACCCCCCCCAAAAAAGAACTGAAGCATCTTTTAAATCAAAAGGCCTTTGGAATCAGCTTTCCACAGATATCTATTAGACTTTTATATTAATTTAATGCTCCACAGCATTAAATATTCAAGACAACATGCATTTGAGGATAAATGCAGCCCCTTCAACTGCAACCAGTAATGAAGAAAACCAGAAACCTCTACTGTAATCTCAAAATATGTCAAAAGGAACAAAACTGAGAAGCTGCAGTATCTAAAAGTGTAAGAACAGTAAGGAGTAATTTTAGTGAGGAAAAGTGGGAGAAATGAAGGTGTAGATTTAATTATGAATGAAAGCTTTATGACTGCATCGCTTAGTGTCGGAAATTCCAGTCCTAATTGTGGTCGTAAGTCGAGGACTACCTGTCCTTTAGAGAACTGGATGGAAATTATACAGATATGTCAAAGAGTAGAGTTGAACCAAACACCTTAAATATTTGTGTCCAAGAAAAAAATGAGAAGGAAGTCATAAATGCTATGACAAAGTTGAACAGCTGTAATGCTGGAGAAATTTAATTGGTGAAATATTAAGCTATGGATGTGCTTTGCTTATGAAGTAGCTATGTGATGTTTGATGTGCATGTGATGCAGCTATGCCTGACAATGGAAAGGATGCTGTTACAGTTCCCCTATACAAAGAGTAAATGCAAAACTACCAAAGAATTAATTTGTTGTGTGCACCTGGGAAGAAGTTTGCAAAATTCTGATTGAAAGGACATAAGAAATAACAATGAGCAAAATTTGGGAAGTACAGTTTGACTTTATACCAGATGGGGGGATCAGGTCATGTTTGTACTCTTCAGCAGTAAATGTGAGAAAAAAAGTTGATAAAGTGAATAGGCTTGAATTATGGAATGTTTTGCATGAATATGGAGTTGAAGATTGGTTGCTGAATGTAATAAGGGCAATGTAGGATGAAAATAAAGCAGTGCCTGAGAATAAATGGAATGATTAGTGAATGGTTCAGCTCTAAGCAGAGAGTAAGACAAAGACGGGTGATGTCCCCTTGGTTGTTTAATGTATTTATAGATCAAGATGTAAGGGATACTTTTGTATATAGATCATACCAAGATGTTCACTAAGAACATGAATGACTTACAACATATTATAGACTGTATGATGCAATATGGATCTACACATTAATGGTTCAAAGACCAAGGTAGTTATATTTGAGAGACAAAATGGAGTGAATGACTGCAATATAAACAGCAATAAGCTAGAGCAAATATGTGCAATAGTGTACCTCAGTAGAATGTTTAACAAAGATGGGGAAATGGCTTGAGAAATTTTAAGACACTCAAATGGTGGCAGAAAACCAATGCATAGTATGTAATCTGCCATGAGGAATGTTGAAAAAAGCAAAACAGTGTGCTTCTACCCACTTTGTTATACAGAAGGAGAAACAAACCCTGAATACAATAGAAATGCAGTGGGAACAGGAAGAAGTGTACGTGGCAAAATTAGTAGGTTGTAAATAAATGGGTACTGAATAAATGAGGACTGAATACTGAAATGCATGACCAGTATGAGGCAGTTATATAAAGAGAAGAATCCTGATTGAATTACAGACGAAATATATAAAGGAAGGGGGGAAAAGTTGCGGTGGATGGAGCAGATAAAATCCTGAAAATGTGAACGGTAAGAACAAAAGGCAATGTACACAGCATGGAGAGACTGGGTGTAAACCAGTTCAGCTACCGTATATCTTGTCCTCTTTTTCTCATCTCATTCCTTCAAGTTAGTGTTTTCCGTTCCTTTTCTGCACTTTGAACCACTTGCTTACCCTGAAAGGGAAGAGAGCGGCAGGGACGTGTGTACGTTCCGGATACGCCGGTAACACGGAACCCTAAACTAGCCACGCGGGCTGGATTCACACAACAGCCTGGGCTAACGTACGGCTGTGGTTCGGTGCTTTGGGAAAATGCGGACTTTCTCCTTCGGGGCGTCTGCGAGAAGCAGTGACAGGCGCTCCGTCGGAAGGGAACGAGGCCGCCGGGCGGAAAGAGGGCGGGGGGGCCTCATCGGGGACCCTCCAGCGCGAAGGGCGCCCCTTCCTCGGCCGAGGCCCGAGCCCATCGCCGACGGGCCGCGGAGGGTCGCACCGGCGGACTCACCTGGTTGAGTTCATTCTCGGCCGCGAGGCGCAGCTTGGGGTCGATGGTGCCCTTGAGCGCCTGGATGATTCTGTTGGGATCCATGGCCTCCCAGCGCCTCAGCGGGAAGGACAGCGACCGCCGCACACGCTCGCCGGCTCCCTCCTTCCCCGCTTGGCTACACAGGAGCCATTCACCGGTTTACGACAGCCGAACTGTCGCGAAGACGAAGCTTTGCGGCTTCGGCACCCCCGCCCCACCGTTTGCCGTTCTCGCGGTGCCGGAACGTCGGGCGCCATATTGCTGTACGGAAAGAAATGCGCCCGCGACCGAGCGGGGAGCTGACCGTTGGTTCCCTGCGTGGGGACCGGAGGCTTGGGCTCTCTGTATCCCGTCTTTTCCGCAGTTTAGAAAGGGGGGCGGGGGCAGGTGGTGAAGAAAGGCTGCTTACGGATACCTCTTCCAGTCTCCAGCGCATCCTGCCTGGGAATTACCTCACTGGCCGTTTAGAGGATGCACACATTCCAGTTTTAGTCCAATTAACAATAACGCATCAGACTTCGTTTCGTTTTTTTCATGGGGGAGGCTTTGTAAGTTTGTTGAAAGATATGTTAAGTCTACGTCGTTCCCAAACTTCCCTGCTTTATTCTGATGAGCAAGCACTTATACGTTGGCTGAATGGCTGGTGTGCGTTAGAGCCACACTTGGCTGGAAAATCATGAGTGCTCCTCAGTAATTCCTTGTGAAACTGGACTGCGATACTGTATCAAGTGAGATGCTGGCCCAGGACACTATCATTTTCATTAACTACTTGAAGAGGTGGAGGAATACCTAGCTAGTTTGCCAGTGATGGAAAACAAGGTAGAGTAACTAATACTCTAACACACACACACATAAAAATCATTTAGAAATGTACTAAATGTAACAAAATCTGACAAATACAAAAAAACAAGTACAGGTATAGGATGCGGAGCAGCAAAAGCATGTGCATTGAGTAGAGGACTTACTCCATCTAAGGTGGCTAATACTTGAACTACAATAGTGTCTTGAATTTTTCATATGCTATGTAGCATAGTTTTTGTATTACCTACTACTGAATATAAACAAAATGACCCATTAATTGGAATGATTTTAAACATTTTTCAGCATCTAATCCTAGCACTAATGTCTACAGAGAAAACCTGTTCCCATAACACGCTGTGTATAAAATACAGGACTGCAGTGCCTTGAACATCTACACATGGTGCAACCATGCTCATGGCGCAGTCCTGACATGTGTTTAAATGTTTCCAGTATTATAATGGGGAAGTGTCAGGAAGCCTTTTATGTTTAACGATACACACACATCATTCAGTTAAAAAGTATTTGCCTCTTTGGATGTTCTCAATTTTTTTGCAGTTTGGCTACTATCAGAGCTTCATACAGATCCTGATATATAAAGAAAGTCTAAATGAACAAGTAACACCAAAGTTTCATGCTTGTTTCCTTTATTTCATGAACAAACTCAACCAATGTGCAACGTACCGTGAGAAAATAATCATACCCATCAGTTCAAATGAAGGAATAATTAGGGCTAATGATGAGAACCCCTCATCGCTGAAGTTCACAGCACAAAAATTCTAAGGCATATCACTCTCAGCTCAAAATACATTTCTGAAGACATCTGTAAAAAGTCATTAATACCTATTTGCCTGAAACAGTTACAAAACCATTCTAAAGCTCTGAGGCTTCACCAGTCAGTCTTGCAACTAAGATCAACTGGAATAATTGTGAATCTTCACAAGAGTGGCTGTCATCACTCTTAAGAGCGCAGGATAGAAATGGCTAGGAAGTCACAACAAACTCCAGAACATCTTCCAAGGATCTGAAGGCCTCTGGCCAAATTTTGACTACCATTAGAAAAGCACTATATAAAAATGAAAGAATAGCAACACAGAAGCTATAGATGTTCAAATTTTGCCAAGAAACAGCTGGATGGACCTCCAGACTTCTGGAGGAATGTTCTATGGGCAGATAAAAGTGGAACTTTCCAAGCTACACAGGCTCAATTAGGACTGGTGGAAGCTAAACACTGCATTCCACAATTAGAACCTCATACCAATTGTCAAGCATAGAAGTGGGTAGCCTCATGGTTTGGAGATGCTTTGCTGCTTCAAGCTCTGGATGACTTGGTATCATTGAATAAAGCACAAATTCTACTTTAATAATTCCCCAGAACAGTATCAGGCCATCTTTCTGACAGCTAAAGCTGAGGTGAAGTGAGTCATGCAGCAATAGAACGATCCCAAACATACAAGCAAATCTGCAAGAGAATGGATAAAGAAAAACAAACTCAGTGTTCTTGAGTTGCTAAATCAAAGTTCAAGCCTAAATGCCATAGAACTGCAGCAGTTCTACTAGAAAGTCTTAAAATGTTACTGAGTTAAAATAATATGCTGTGGAGGAATTGGCCAAAATTCCTACATAGCAATATGAGGTTGCTCTCCAATTACAGGAAGTATTTATTTGTTAAGTTATTGCAGCTAAAGGTGATGCAACAAATTACTGAAGCCAATCACATTTTCACAGTGACATGCTGCATATTAGATGACTTTGGGAAGTAAATAAAACAAGCACTTAATTTTCATATTTCTTCACTCAGTTCCTCTATACATCAGATGGATCCATGTGAAGCTCTGATAAAATTCAATTGCAAAGAAAAGCAAAAAATTCAGAACATCCAAAAGGGGCCAAATACATTTCCACACAGCTGTAGTTCAGGAATAACTTTTGCGGATTTGCTAGTTGCAAATGAAACACTCCACAGCAGCAGGATTTTTTTTTCTTATCAATAAGGATAACTTTTAACTGAAAACCGTTTGCAAGAAAGTTACTGAATAAGAACCACCATTTGCTTAAAAAAGTAAAAAAGTAGCATAGTAAATAGGTGAGTTTTGGGTGTGTTACATTTTACTTTTAGTAAGCCATACAAATATAAACACTACAACATTTGTTAACCTGTTCAGTCACAAAAGAGAGGGTAACACACAAAACAAGTTTAAAATGCTTTATTACCTCACTGTATTGATATTTTTGCAAGCTTTTCAATACTGCACATATTCACAAAAAGATCTGGAGCTGCCTTCTGGACATAAGCCAACTGAATCCTTTGATGAAGAGAGAGAAAAGGGCTAGAGCTTGAGATGGAAGCGTCACAAATAATTTAGCTAACATAATTGTCATTTGGAAAAATAGGAGGGCCTTTCAGATTTTATAAAATGCTGAGTCAGATTAATTGGGACGTTTTTTTAAAAAAGGAGAGACATTTTCTAGATGCTTAGTTGTTTTTGGACACCAATACCAGGAATGAAAAGTAAAACAGAACCAAAGTTGTAGAGAAGGAGTTGAATGGGGAATGCAGAGGAGAACTTACCATCTCTGCTTACTCTCTTCACTGGATGAAATTAATCCTACAGTATTCTTCCAATGTGCTGTTCAGACAATTTCAAATATAGTCCTGAGTTATGACTATCTCCAGAATGGTTCCACCTTGGTGCTATTATGCAGTTCTTGAAGCCTTTAGTCTTCAGATGTCCAAGGGCAACAGTTCCTAACAAACAGCTTGAGTGACACAGCCACTCATTTCCATCAACAGTGTTTTATAACAAAGGTGAAAAGTCTGAAGCAAAGTGACCAACAGAATCAGTGGTTAATAAAATAAGATGTAAAAATCTTATTTGTGTCATCTCTTATCTCTCCATTTGCTTAATTACCCACATGAGGTTATTTTTTTGCTGCAGCATTGGTATCAAAACTGGCAAGGACAATGCCTTCAATAAACTCAGGATCCTCAAACTTTTGGGCCTTATGGACACATTTGGAACTTGAGGAATGTGTTATGTTCTCATGCCATGGTTGATATGGCCCATCATGGTGCCCATTTACATGGTGGCTTGCCCCACTTCCACCACTCTACCACCTTAACTTACCTTTTTCCCCCCATACAGGAAGTATACCTCCTAAGCACTGAGCTACTGCCAGGTATATACAGGGCCAGAAGCATTTTTAGAAATGATGGTGCTTGCAGCTGGTGTTTTGCTGTGTACTGTGCTAGCTTCCCAATTCTGGGAATCGAGAGGTTCCTGCAGATGCTGTGCTGAGACCTCAAATTCTACATATTTACAGAAATAGGAAATGAATCTCAATCTCAACATTCCACTCTTGCTTTGAACATTTAAAAAATAAAAATGATGTATGATGTTGTGTTACAGATTGGGGACTGATCCATCTAATTTTAAGTAATAGTAACTCTCCAAGAAACTCCATCATCTGCTATTTCTTCCTCCTACCAGGAGATTTTGGGGATTGTACCTGCAACTGTTCACATGCAAGGAACGTACTTCATCACTAAATATGACTCTTCCTCCAATAAAATCTTATTTATTTATAAACAGCCGCCTATCTTATATGTGATAATCCCAGACAGCTCAAAATGTTCAATAAAAATAGGAAAAAAAATGACCAAGTGAACCCCACAACACCACCATATATCCCAATCACAGCACCATTCACTAACTCTAAATTCATACTCGTATTTGCTGGGCTCACTTCTATCGTACTGCAATACCTGGATGAACAAGCCAGGTCTTCACAGCCCTCCGGAAAGCTAATGGAGTGATAATATGACCCATAGTTATCACAGTAGTACAGACATTGATACTAAGGCATATTAATTTTTTTTTTATTTAGGCACAAGGCGTTGCGGATAGCCTAAACTTGAGGCAAATTTTGAGTAGCATAGTAAGCTGATAAATTACAGTTCAAGAATAAGTGCAAACATAACATTCAGAGCTTTACTTACAAGGCTACATCACAACTGATAAAGTGCCACATCAGTGCTGACCCATCTCCATCTCATTGCAAGACAGATCACCATATCCCCATTTCAGAATGGCGTGTTTAAGTATTCAGTATGCAATGTGAAACTAGTCCCCGTTTTCACCTCCCTTCACCAAACTGTTGGAGCAGCTTAATGTTCAGTCTTGATACAGGAGGTATCCTGAGAATGTAGAATATTTCCAACTACTTCCATAAATAGCTCCTCTATGAAGGCGTAGCCAAATCTGGTCTCCTTGAAACAGCTGGAGGACTGCATGGTTGCTTGCAGTCTCATGATCTGGAGCACCATCATTGGCATACGCAGAGACTAGAACCTCTTCGTTTTTCATGAGGTTCACGTATAATGGTACATTCACAGCTAGCTTCAGCATATGGAATATGAATACATAGGTACCATTAACAGGACAATTGAACCTACCAAGTTGTATATCAAAGGTTTCGCCAAGATTGTTTAACAAGAGGTCAAACACGATGGGTTGATCTAAAGTTCCAGGAGCCAAGTTAGAAGTTCTAGCAGCAGAAAAGGCAACTCTCATCTGCTGTGGGAGGGGGTAGACGTGTACAGGTAGTATGGTGGCTGCTTGGCTTGTCACAGGCATATCAACAGGAGTGATGCTGCGGGAATCACCCTGCCCAGAGTCCCCACTGTTAAACATCTCATTGTCACGCTCTGGACTGCTCACCTGAGAGGAATCGCTCCATCCTGCTGTTGGAGATCATGAGCAATTGTTAGTTCTGATATAACCATTAAGAAATCCATTTTTAGAAGTCTTCAAAGTTCAATTTGTCAAGATTTATAGAATAGATCAGTCTTCCCCAGCTGAGCATCCTCCAACTCTGTTGGAGCTACAATTCCCCATATTAGCCGCAGACACAATATGGAGGGCATTACGTATGGGAAGGCTGATCTAGATAACTGCCAGTTACTGGTTTGCTTCTTGTTTTTACAAATTCATTTTCTTCAAATTGTGGAAAGAGAACAATGTTTCACAATGAATGAGAGTGAGTTTTTTTTTTAAAGGTGAAAGACACAAAACACTGATTTACCCCAGCTTCACTGGTCAACCAACAAGTATAAACATGACTTGAGACTATCCCACATTTTACTAGGCTGTTTTATTCTCCCCCACCTCCAATTTCCATCATGCTTCTCTGTTCCAATATTTGTTCTGATTTTAGGAAGGCTTCTCTGCCATTTAAATGGTAAAAATTAGCTGCCTTTAATTGGCTCTTGTTGCTTTACTTATCAGCCCTTTGCACATCCTGGCTCTTAGAACAGAATTATTTCATGGAAAAAATAAGTTAATTAACCATGCTCCAATCTAGTTTGCTTAAACTAAGCACAGGTTTTTCATCCGTCGCCATCTGAAGGCTGAGTAAAAGCGATATATGCACTGAATATGCTTCTACAATGAATTCAGCCCTGAAATAATTGAAATCTATCTTAGAGATTTAAATACATCTGCAGTATCTTTAATACCCTGGTGAGAAATATAAATTTACCATTAAGGAATTTTTGTCTGATGTATTATTTATTAAAACAGTATTTTCTCCAAACTGTCACTCTGCAAATGTTTGGGGAATTCTGAAAGTTACAGTCCAAAACGTGTTTGGAGGACACCAGATTGGAGACAGCTAGTATATTATAGATTGTTGAATATCTAGTTTGATTTCCAGAACTACTACATGTTATATGATGCTCTTCAAATTAAAGCTGAATTCTCACAACTTCTGACCATGAAAACAGAAACTGAACTGTAAACTACAAATTAGTACACCCCATTGATTTATATAGCGGAACACCTAAAAACCATAGATAGAATTGTAATGTTATAGTATATTTATATGTTATCATGAATGTATAGTGGCTGCTTACTCACCAGAATAATCATAGCTGCTTAAATATTACATTATTCCATAGGAAATATATTTTCAAGGATGCATTGTTCTTACTTCCAAGAAAAGACACATCTTTAAAAATGTGTTTTTATTTAATGTAGAAAACCAAGTTACCAATCTGTCAACTATACTGTTAATCAGCACTAACTGAATTGGTGCATTTTGGCAACTACAAGATTGTTTTTAGACTCTGCTTCTTTCTCATTTCTCTCTGTTTTTCTCAATTCCCTTCTTCTGAAGTATTTTCTACCACGAGTTCTACCTCGAGCTCTACCTGTTGAGCAGTTTTCTTCCTGTCTGTTTTCTTGCCTGTAACCTAAAACATAGAAGCTTTAAGGATTTTATATTTCTATAAAGCTGCTGATATGGCTAAATTGGAATTAGTTGAATCTTTTCCTCAATAGCCTGAAAAAATTACTGTTTTATGGCCTTCAATAGAGATGGGTAAAATGTTCTGTGCTTGGAGCAGCTGATTTCAGGTGGTCCTTGTCTGAATCCAGATGGATACATTTTAAATGTTTGCATTCAAACTTTGAACAAAATGGCTCTATTTGTTCCAGGTACAGACCAAAATGTAGATGTTCTGGACAGAAGTGGTTCAGAGGAAGAGAAGAGCAGAAAAAGTTAAGAACATCAGCCATGACTGCTGAGGGGAGGTGGGGGAAGAAATTTTCCTCCCCGCTCTAATGAAAAAAAACCTTTGCAAAAGTTTATAATTCCCAGCAGTTATTAACTGTTCAAAACTGGCATGTGACTAAGTATCCAATTACTGTATATTGTTCACAACACTGTATAGGTGGCAGTTCCTTCAAAAGCAGCCCTAGATACCTTTCCAATCATCCAGTAGGTAAAGCACCTAAGAAGAGTTCAAGTAGAAGAGTTACCTCAAATCCCTTCCAAGGTTGCTTGCATCTATGGTTTATCTTTCAGGACTGTCTCACATATTACTCATCAAAATCAGTGAGGAAATGTGTCTCTCTGTGCGTGTATTAGAAGGCTGCTAGTTTTCAGGTGCTGTGAATAAGTCTCTAAGCCAGGACTCTCAGAACAGTCATGGGCAGCCTCCTCAGTCTGGTGAAGCTGAAAGGGCAATGCTCACCTCACCCTTACTGGAGCATCTGGCCTCAGGGGAGACAAGACTTGCAAAGTTGTCACTCACTGGATGCCATCTTTTGCCAGACTTAATCTTGCATATAAAAACTGAGGAGTACATGGAGTCTGTACTTGACTGTTCATTTAAGCAACAATACATGTAATCCATAGCATGCTGGAACAGTTAATCACTGTGGAATGCAACTTGAGCACTACAGTGTGACTTAAAACAGACTTGCACTTTAAATCATGTTAAAAGTAAACTTACCTCTTGAATTAGTTCGACCACTATTAATACCCCCTCGTTTATAGTTTGGTTGGTAATTCATATCCTAGAACATAAACATTTGCCCAAGTTTAGTAAAGGGCAACAACGAAATTCTTACAGTCACTTGAACTTTTTATTTCATAACTGGTGGGGTAGTAGAATGGGAGGGAAGGGTGCTATTTCCTGCATCAAGTTTGTTGCTACCTGGAATACATCTGCAGTCCAATATATTTAATTAGCACTAGAACAATTGGTATATATCTTATGCCTGTAAATAATAAACTACAATAAATTCTTGTTCCAGTATTACAGCACACTTAATTGATCAGGTCATTTTCAAAGAAATTATGCCAATTTATAACAAAGATTGTCTCATGTCAAATAAGCCAAGTGAACAGATTTCAGAGATATAAACCCCAAGTTATTTTTTAAAATTCACCAATAGGATGTGAGATACAAACCAGGTGTGTATTATTTATACTCCATTTATCTATTCTACGTAGCACTTACTATTAGCCACACTAAATCACCAGCCACGCATGCTGTCAGGTTTATGGAGCATCCCTATGCTGTCATGGACAGGTTAATGTTTGATTCTGATTTTTGCACAGAACAAAACATACCAAAACTATAGTAAAGCATACTTGGTTTGCAACAAAGCTTGTCAAGTCATTACCCTCTGAGGATATTGCACTGAAGGGAAATCTCTGCCAGGAAGCTGTAATTGGCTATAGGTTCCATTAGGGATTGAAGGTGATCCTCTGTAAGCTTCAAAACCTGCTGGAATAAAGTATTGTTTACCATGAAACAACACTTCATATTTCCTTTAAATACTAAACACATGCCTCTCATTGGTGTATTAGAGAACTGTAATATGTCTACCTTGTGGCAGAAAACCAACAACCACCCAATTCATTGTCTAAGAGAGAATGACGAGAATGACTGAATATTAAGTAACTTTAAAAACTATCCTGTATGCAGTACCATGCAAAAAAATAGGCATCTGTTCAAGGATTGGGATGCCAACCAGTCTAAGATGCCCTTTAGCAACCAGCATCATTGCTAGAAGAGCATTCTTATTTCAGTATTTGACTTCAACATTTGAGCACATGTTAGACTGGGCCTTTTATATGTGACCAAACTGATAATTCAAATATTCCTTGAAATGTCAAATAGCATCCAACCATTAATACAGGTATTGCCATTAAAAAAGGCCAGTACATACTCAGAATGTGGTTGGGATGCCAGACCACAGTCTGTCCATTAAAATGATTCTGCGCATTAATAAGTAGTGATCATAATGCTGATGCACCTAGAAGTGTTTCATTTACTTATTCAGTAATATTTATAAGCCACCCCAATCCATATAGTTTATAGGCAGTGTATAATACTTTAAAACCCAATATAATAAAAGCCCAAACAATTAAAATGATACTCTATTATGGTCACCCAAACAGAACTACAGTCCTTGGTTAACAAAGGCAATTGGGACCAGAATTTCCGTCGCTAAGCAACACAGCTGTAAAGCGCACATCACGTAACTGCGCCCCAGTGACAGACATTCCAGTACTTTTGGTTGCTGTTGTTAAGTGAATTGTCATGGGTTGTTAAGCAAGGATGTCACATGGTCACCATTTGCAAGCTTCTGCTGGCTTCCCCTTTGTCTTTGCTTGTAGGAAGCTGGCAAAGAAGGTCATAAATAGTAATCCCGTGACCGCAGGACACTGTGACAGCTGGAACTTCAAGGACTGGTCATAAATAACACTTGTTCAGCAAGTTTGAACGGTCGCTAAACAAGTGGTCACTAAGCAAGGACCACCTGTACAGGCCAAAAGCTCACTGGAATAATACAGACTTGTTTCTTAAAAGTAAGGAGGCTTGAGGACACCCACACTTCTGGGGGTAAGACTAGGCCTATCACTAAGAATCTCTGTCACCTGGGCTATACCCCATGAACCTTGAGAGGAGGGAGGACCCTTAATAGACTGGACTGGAGTAGGAATAGGGCTGCATCAAAACATACCCAGCCACAAGCATTTTCACAGAATGGGAACTTACCTTTATAGCCACCAGGAGAGCGATAAGAATTGGTCACTGATCTTACGCCCCTGAGAGGACCTCTGATAGATCCACGGCTTGCAACAAAAGGCTGAGATGGTCTAGGAAAAGTGGCTGTCTGTGCTGCATAAAAGGTGAGGGTACCATTGCTGACAGGAACAGCTCCCTCAGTCTGGCAAGTACCTGCTTAAGATGAGAAGTACACATCTTACTTCTGTAAGCTACTGCAAAGGAAAAGAATGTGGTTCCCCTATTTTTTTTTTCAGCCTTTATTATTCAGGAGTATTTGCACTCAGCTTGTAACACACAGGAATATTGCCTTGTTACTGTTAATTACTGTTTAAAAATAAACTAAT